GGGGATACTGCAGTTCAGAAATCATCAAAGCAATACTTTTTTTTTTCATACGAAACTCCCAATATTCTGACACAGGTATTAAAGCATCTTTACCGCAGAGTTTATATCAGAAATGAACGCTTACTTTATTTAAAATGGAAAGGATTGTCAACCGGTAATGCTGGTATCTCCTAATCCTGTTGCTGGAGAAATTATCAACAACAATATAGTTAGATTATATAATGTAGTTGCACTTTCAGAAAATGTTCTGCCCATGTCTCTGCCACCTTTCCAAGTCCCTCCAGCTGTTAGAAGAGTTGTTTTTGTCACAAAACATCACCATTTCCCATTTTGACCTTTTGCCAAATCATTTTGTCTTGTTCATTGCAAACTCTTGTTCTACTTATCCAGTCTCTTTATTAATTTGTTGGTTCTTATAACTTAGTATGATTCACGCAGCGGCTCATTTTCTTCAAGGAACGATTCTTTCAGCCGACCATTTCCTCTCTTACTTATATACCGCCTTAGTGCTTTCCTCCTCCTTACTGTCTTTCTCCAGTGACTGTAATTCTCCTTTCACAGGTCATCTTCCTTACATTTGTTACGGTTGTTTTATATCCTATCTTTGTATTAATTGTCTTATCTGATAACGTTACACACCTCAAATCTATTTCAAAGCAGTTTGTGTGTGTTATATTGATCCTTAATTTTCCTTTAAGGCTGTGTGTTTGTGTGCGTGTGTGTGTGTGTAATAATAATAATAATAATAATAATAATAATAATAATAATAATAATAATTAACGGTTTATTGAAAGAGCAGAAGACTGAAAGTATACAGTTACATAATTGGAGAATGGGTCTCTTGATTTACAAATAATATACAAGCAACATAAGTGATACAAATATGATATATAATAACTAGGTGGGGAGAAGCTCAAACTACAGGGCATTTCAACATAGTGACAGTGCAAAAAGTAAGATTGACTGGGAGTGAATACACTGATTGATTACAAGTTATTGATAATTTTTACAGTGGTTGGGACTGGGCTGTTCTTTAGCGATCAATTCGTGCTCGTATGGGCTGAATGCGGTTGTGGTGTCGAACAGCAATTGTCGGACGAGGGATCTCGGGTGGTAGTAGGAGCTGGTGTCGAGGATGGTGCAGAAGCTTTTCATCAAATTTGCAGATGAGGTCGTGGTGATGGTCAGAGAGAGCCGAGAGGGTCAGTGTGTTGAGTGCTTCTTGATATGTAGTGTGTGTGTGTGTGTGTGTGTGTAATGGTCAGCATACTCACGCAAGTGAATGGACTCAAGTTCGATTTCCTGACTTGGTAAAACTATAGCCAGGATTCCTTTCGCTATTTGCCTGTCTACCCAGCAGTAATGGTGACGTGGACGTTAAACGTAATGCTGGCGGGAAACGGTAAAGGTATAAGGATAATCTTACGACAAACCTGAAAAAGTGCCAAATCGACTCCCTCACCTGGGAGACGATCACTCACCGTAACGCTTCGAGGAGCACCACACGAGAAGGTGTCAATACTTTCGAGTTAGCCCGATTACATACCGAGGCAGACAAGCAGCAGCGCCGGAAAACGCTGCAGCCCTTATCGGCCTCTCGAGTCACCTCAGAGCTCACCAACGAAGGTGACATACAGTAGTACCCCGATTTACGCGGTCAATTGAACCCACAGGGTACCGCGTAAAGTGAAAACCGCGTAAAGTGAACAACAGAACATATGGGATTAATTCCAATAGAGACTGGCCCGACCCCCAAACTCCACTTTTTGACGACACACAACTATGTTGTAGTAAAAATATTATCTTAACTTTATGATGGTATGCACACACAATTAATAATTAAGAGAAATATCAATAATATTAGTTTTTTTAACACTTACGTTAGTAGAAAATATGGTTGGGCACACAGGGATGGGGGGTTGGTTCCAAGGCAGAGGGCAGATTATTGGCCCTCACCTGTATCACTTGTATCAATTGTATCAATATCCACCACATAGGCTTGCAGGGCCTCTTTGTCAAACCCCTCAAAGTCCATATAAGTCCATATCCTCACTATCACTGACTTAGGCCGGCTGTGGTGGGTGGCGGGTGAAGAACTCGGTAATGTTTTGATGACTGAGCGGCCTTGTGCGCATCCTGCCCGCGCCGCTTCCTGCGTATATGAGTAGATGCACCGCGGAAAGTGAAAGTTCGGTTCTGGCGAGGCACCGCGTAAATGAGAAATCGCGGAAAGTGAAACCGCGTAAAGCGGGGTAATACTGTACTTAATAACGCATATCATTGTATCATATGTGGATGATCGTCATTCGTGATTCCTAGTGACAGCAAAGTAGTGTGTGTGTGTATATATATATATATATATATATATATATATATATATATATATATATATATATATATATATATATATATATATATATATATATATATATATATATATATATATATATATATATATATATATATATATATATATATATATATATATATATATATATAT